TGTGTTAAGATGTGTATATATAATATTATCACATGATAAAAAGAATAAAAGTATTATTACTGAGAAAGTGAATGTATATCAATACATAGTACTTTGTATCTAATATATACACTAAATTTAGGATGGTATTGCCTAAACAGAGTTGCTATTAGAAGTTGATTGTAAGCAATGTAGTCTTGCCTAGTGATAGACTCGTAGATAATGCTTAGTTCAATTTAAGTTGATAGAGTGTTAGTTAAGACTTACATATGAGGCTTAGTTCAATTAAGTTTGGATATTGGGTAGCATCTTATTAAGGGAAGTGTGTGAGACAGGAACGAAGAGTAGAGTTATGTTTAGTGACATTATCAGGTGTTGATGGTACGAATTACATACCGAAGTATGACTAAGTATTCATTTTGGATGACCATAAATGGTGGTTCCAGATTAGGCAACTATAACGGTATGCCTGGTTATATCCCAGAGTAAGATGACAACACTCGATCACTCTAGACGCTATTGTGAATTACGTTGCTAGTGTCGGCTCATAACGCATAGACGTGGATGAAATGAGATACCATATTCATCAAATACTCTGATGGCTCGAGTGCCTTTGTGACTTACGCTGGCCAAGGAAGCCCCTAGCAGTGTAGTCAAACCCTTGCTCTAAACGATTCATCAGGTGAGATAATTCTTCCTGATAACTGTAGACTAGGATATGTGAGGATCGAGTGCCTTGGTAACAGTTGGTTTTGCATTTTGATATATATATATATATATATATATATATATATATATATATATATATATATATATATATATATATATATATATGTTAATGACTTAAAAGGGTAATGTATTTTTTGATTTGTACACATTTGGTCACTGAGTTTTTTTTTTCGTCTACATTTACCCATTTAACTTGTTAAACCGTACACATTCAGTCCTTATGACCGTTACTTTAGGTTAGCCGGAAAAATGACTTAATAGGGTAATATATTTTTCATTTTGTACACATTTAGTCATTAATATTTTTGTACATATTTAGTCCTTAACATTTTTTTTGTTTCAAATAAGTCTTTTTTTTGTAATCACTCAATAGTTATAAATGAATTATTTAGTCCTTTTTTGTACATATATGGTTTGGATCATTTGACAAATCAAAGATTCTTGGAAATGCAAGAACATTTCTATTTTTTTTTAAATACTTTGAAACATCTAATGATTTTTTTCTGCTTAATCATATATATATGCAGATATGAAAAATTTTCATATACACACACACATTTGTTTCTTTCAGCAAATTAAGTCCTTTATAAGCTACTTAATGGCTGGTATAGTAAAAAAAATATTAATGTCTCAATGTATTTTTTTTTTCTATTTTTTTTAAAAGTTCTCAGATTTTGATGAATATATGAGGTCTCAACGGATCTCAACCATATATATATATATATATATATATTATATATTATATATATATATATAATATATATATATATATATATATATATAGACACACACACATAAGCATATACACATACACATACATACATATAGATACACATAAATATACATATATAGATTTACATATACGCATACAGATACATACATGCATAAACTTATACATATGCACTTATATATACACATACATATCAGGCGTTAGCCCTGAGTCGATTCTCCTCTTGAATTCGGTTTTCCCCTAGATTTTTAGAAATAGTTAGTGGAGCCCTGAGTCGTCGAAGGGTCCAGCAAATAGAAGCTCTCGGGTTGGAGTTCTGCCTGTGACAGTTTTCGCTAAAAACTATGTAACTTAAGCTACACTTATTACACTTTAAGTGTAACTTATGTTTAAGTTCATTGTTGTTATTATGAACTTATAAACAAGATTTATCAGTGATTCCATGTCAAAATACTAATTGATCTACTTACGAGAGTGATGTCTAGGCTAGATCTAGTGAGATGTTTAAAGTGAGATTTCAAAACAGTATACTCTATATACCAAACGGACCCTACCTCCGATATGATCTAACCTGGTTATTCCTTACTTCATAGATCTTGATGTAGACATTGGGATTAATGAGGAATCTAGGCTATCATTAGTCACCAGGAATATAAGACTAAGACTTAATGATGTGCTTACCTAGGTCAAATCAAAGGAAAAGCCAATGTGTTAGACGAAGCGTTGCTGAAATAACCAGTCATCCATTTTTAACAAGTGAGTGCATAGTTACTTGCATGATCACAATTTTAACAAAGTATAGTAAAAAAAATATTAATGTCTCAATGTATTTTTTTTCTATTTTTTTTAAAAGTTCTCAGATTTTGATGAATATATGAAGTCTCAACGGATCTCAACCATATATATATATATATATATATATATATATATATATATATATATATATATATCTAATATATATATATGTTTAGGTTCTATGCAAAACAAAAAAACCCTAAAATCATAAAAATGCATAAATAAAATACTTAGAGATCACAAAACTTTTTTTGAATTTTTTTATCAAAAAATCGCAGCTTTTAACATAAAATCGCTGAAAAAAAAAATTTACAAAAAAAAAAAAAATTGATTTTTTATTTTTTTTCAGCGAAATTGTCAAAAAGGCTGCGATTTTTTTTGATAAAAAAAATTCAAAAAAAAAAAGTTTGTAATGTCTAAGTATTTTTTTATGCATTTTTATGAATTTTGGGTTTTTTGTGTTTTCCAAATACCCCTTCCCAGATACTATATAATATATATATATATATATATATATATATATATTTATATATATATATATATAATATATATCTATATATATATATATATATATATATTATATAGACACACACATAAGCATATACACATATATACACATACATACATATAGATACACATAAATATACATATATAGATTTACATATACGCATACAGATACATACATGCATAGACTTATACATATGCACCTATATATACTGGTTACGTATTCACAATCGGAGGAGCTACAATTAGTTGTATGACGAGACTTCAAAAGAGTGTAGATCGTTCAACTACGAAAGCACAATATCGGGCGTTAGCGGAAGCCAGTAAAGAAATCATTTGGTTCAAGATATTTCTCATAGAATTGGGATTGGATCAAGAAGATTGTGTGTTGCATTGTGATAATCATAGTGTAGTTCATCTTGCCAAGAATCTGGTGTTTTATTCAAGAACGCAACACATCAAAATGAGACATCACTTTATTAAAGAACCGAATAGTAAATGAAGGCTCAATTTGAAGAAGATCATTGGTGCTAAGAACCTTGTGGATATGTTCATCAACACAGTAACGTTAGAAAAGTTGCAGCTTAGCAAGGTTTCAACCGGTCTTCCTACAAATTAGAGTCCAAGACACAAGCTAGAGAGTATTTGGGTTTCATCTTCGATGGCAGAAGAATTTGATTTATAATTTAGCCTCTAAATATGATATTGTTGACTTGTTGAGTCTAGATGAGTTCCAGTGTACGAAACACATTGGATGGATTCGGGTGAGTTCTTTATGTGAATGCTAAAAGTTTTTCGAGATAGGAGAATGCAGAAGGTAGATGGTTATGGAACTCAGTTTGCAGGACAGTTCTCAGCAAAGATAAGTTTATTTGAAATATCTTAACATTACATTCCTAAGCACGTCGTATTTCCAAAACTCTTATAATAGATAACAAGTCAACTGCAGGAGCATCTTAATCCTAAAACATACATTATGCTAAAAGCGCATATAAACTAATATTTGATTATATAAATTTTTTGATCTTCAATCGTATTCTTTTTAAAGAATCAGATAATACCTCCTGAGATCTTATTGCCTACTAGAAAAATTAGATGTATAAGTTCTTTTTATCTACTTGTAAACTTGTTGTCGACTTAGTTATATTATATTATTCCTCTTAGAATTTTATAATTTGCAGATTCCACATGTAGGATTGAAGTTGTGTATATATATTATATATAATCTATATTATATATATATATATATATATATATATATATTATATATATCATATATATATATATCTATATATATATATATATTCGAAGAGTTGAATGTTTTTTTGCCTTTGCAATTTGAAGTTTTATAGATTGTTTTAGTTTGGAGTTTGAACACTTCAAGTTTTTACATTTTATTCACGTTTTGTTTCGTTCTATTTTCTAGTTAATATATTTCTTTTTTGGAATTAGTTAATAAAAGCTCAAATGATGAAAGGAGCACTTTGATAATAAACCGTGTTGGCTTAGGCTCATTTAGGCTCAACATTCAAGCAGAGCCCGAACCTATTCAGTTTTTCATGAGTCTATCTAAATTTGGATACATAGTGCTCGAAACAAGCCGAGCTCAAGTTCAACCCCTAAAAGTTTAAGCAAACCGCACACAAGCTTTGTTAGGCTTGGAATCACACCCCTACATCTATAGTATATGACATATCACAATGATTTTACTCTCACGAAACAAAGAACAAACACAAAACTATTTTAGTACATTTTGCTTCTAAATTTTTGCTTAAACCTTGAACTACTATTGGATTATCCGAGGTTAATTTCATAATATCAGATGTATTTAGGTATTAAGGGTCAAAATATAACTTTTGAAAAGTGTTCAACATGATCCATTAAGATATCCAAGTAATCGATTGTCGTATACCATACAACACATATTCTCCAACAAACACAATTATAACTTTGATGACTCCAATGTCAAAATCTATGATAGTTTATAGCCAAAATATAACTGATAAGCCCATCTCATAATCACCAACTAATAAGTTGAACCCATTGGGCTTGGATCAGGCCCATAATCACGAGCTAAGGCCCGGTCATGTTATATATATCTGATAATATCCATTTAGCCAAACCATATAAACATATAAGATCATATGCCAAACACAAACTGATCCAACATAATCCCTACATAAAATTCATTTTTCTTCCCCATAAACCCACCGGAAATTCAAGAAAATGTCACCACAAAAACAAGAAAATCTAAAATCATAAGTTATCCGGTGTTAGAAGCCATCCACTCTGCTTGCATGAACATTGCCCTTTGTCTCTTCTTCAAAGCTGCAGCCTGAGGACTCAACCCCATTGGGGATTCAGGACTAGGGTTGGAGGTCAAACAGCTATCAATTTGGGTGACAGATGGCGGACAGTCATTGGCTACCTTGATTGCCAGCTCAGATAACTCCTCCCTAGCTGCCTCCAGTCCAGCTGTCGCAATTGCTTGATCATTTATAGCTTTACAAGCTTTTTCCAAGATCGATTGAAGATACTTTCCTTGTGATTCAATCCGAAGCTGGAGTCGATGTTGAACCTGAAATTGCAATAATTGGGTAAATTTTTCAAAGTATGAGGTTGTAGTAGGAATAAATGAAAGTAGGAGGGTGTAAGTGTAATAAACAAATCTTTTGAGAAATTGGTGTAAGCAACTGACCTCTAGTTGGTCGTGTAATCTTCTTTGGACTTCCATTTGTGCTCGTAAAGCTTCTGTAACCTCAAAGCCACTATTTTAAACAAAGATTAGATTTAGAGCAATTAATAAAATTAATAACTCGAGAAACAAAAATAAATAAATAAATAAATTACTCGTTTAAATCTTGTGCCATCATTCTTGTAGATGATGATGTGGACGAACCCATGTCCTGGCTTTCAGCAATGCAAGACGCTATAGATCAAACCACACGATACAATCAATAACTAAAAAAGTTTATCTGTGGGCCCCATTTGACAGGACAGGACAGAACAGGTTGTACTGCGTTTGACACGCATTCTCAAACGCATTAGACTGAGACTGGTACTGATGTCATGACAAAAATTACAATTTTTTGTCCCAACAAAAAGTATCGATCTCTCATATGTGCAAAAGACGTAAATGCCCTTCTCATCAACATCGCCGGACTAGATTGGCTACAATGAGGAAGTTAATAAATTTGGTACCTTCTTTAGAGTTCTCTGGGAACTCTTTGCATGATTGTTTCCCCATACGATATTTCTGCGAAAATATGTATGTGTGACATGAGTTATTATAATTAAAGTTAAATATATATTTTTTGGGAGTGTAAAGAAAATAATGGACCTGAAGATGTGACTTGAGATGATAGAGTGTGAGGCCTTTTACCCCCATTGTTCTCATTATCATTTTTGGTGTTGCTTCTGCAAATTAATTTACATCAAGATATATAAAGAAGGTTATAAACTATAGAAAAATGTACCACATAACTATGATTGTAACTTTTTGAAACAATTAAAGATTATTATATGGATTTTGTTAATCTGTGACTTTGTGATTTGTAGGATTTGCGTTTGTCCAATATTTGTGGATTTGTAGGAAGAAAACTAGACAATAAATAGCTAAGACTCAAAAACTATGATCCTAACCATTTTCTTACAAAAGTTATTGACTAGTTTAAATTCCAATAAATATGAGATCCAAATATCATAAGAACTATAATAAGGTGCATAAAACACATGGGTTTAGTAGCAATAAGGGCAAAAAGATTCAATTTTTGAGAAGAATATAGTCATCATGCGATCATAAACTATCTTAAAATCGATAATCACACATGCACACAACATTGAGTAATGATCAATTTCATGAGATTTAAATCTACACAACATTGGGTAATGATCATAAACTTGTTATAGATTTGTTGACAATTTTCCACCAATTCTTTTCTTTCTGCGTATTTGAAGAAAGTATTATGTTGGTGTCACTCGTTTTCCTCAAAAATTTCTAAAATCAACTTTAATTTGAAAGTTAAAAAGCAAACCTTTTGACCCAAAAGCCACTTATGAGCACCGAGGAAATGAGTGAGAATCAAAATCTACTAAACCCTAATCAATACACAAAAATGTCGCCATATGATTGTACATCGTATTCTTCAAATTACCCCCAAAATCCCAAATCATCAAAAGGTATAAGCAAACTCAATAAATTCAACAAACTAACTTACAGTATACAGACAATAATTATAAAACTCAATCGAGAAATCGCAAAGCAATGTGAAAGAAATAGATGAAGAATAGACTGACTATCGGGGCCACCAAGCTGAGTAACTGCATCGACGAATCTCTCATGGAGCTCCGCCGTCCATCGGAGCCTCGGCTTCGGATCTGTCGTCAACACCAAACATGGATCTCCGACCAAGTTGGTACTAGTTAACGGCCGGGGGAAGTCGATACCAGTTCCTTCCAATGGAATCGAGTGAATCCCTGAGTACATTTGGGGAAAAGGAACAAAACCCAGATGATTTCTGAATCAAATGATGTTAAAAATGAGAGGATTGAGATTGGTGGGAGGCAAATGCATGCATTTAGAGGAGAGAAAGGCATAGACAGCGATGGATGTGTTCTTTTCTTGTCTTCGTCTGCCTTTATCCCGGCTTGTCGCTGTTGCTGTTGCTTCCCCCACCATTCAACATTATTTTCTATTTCATGGACTCATGGTTATTTGGATGTGTTCTTATAAGGTCATATGAAAAGAATGTTTTCTTTTATTATTTATGATGATTTGGTTGTTGGAATTAATAAGAAAAAGTAAGTAACTTTGTAGAAAAAAAGTTTCATTTTGAACATGTATAAATCATTTGACACTTTTTGTATTTAATTCTGAATGAGAGTTGTGAATGCTAAAAATATTGACCAACTTTGCTATGAATTTATGAGTAAATATAATATTTTTATATCTTATATAACAAAAACTATCAAGGCAATATGGTTTAAGATTTAAGATGATTACTTATTTTTTTATTATATTAATTTGATTTTTTTGTTCATAAATAATGAATACAACTAAATTTTACGAAAACAAGTCATTAAACTCGAACTTGTTTTCTTATGGAACAAGCAAATATATTAAATAAAAGAGGGCGCACCTAGCAAGGGGCTAGGAGTCACCCACCAGAAAAGTACAAAATAAGAATATAGATAGCCCTTTTACACATATGAGAAAGGGCAAACAATCCAATCTCACCAATTACAAACTCTTTTCTTTCGTTTATGTTTAAACCATAGGATTTGATGATTTTCACCACTATTTCAGGAATTGTTTTTATGTTGTTGAATACCCTATCATTACGAGCTCTCCATGTGCACCAAAACATGTCATAAAAGATGCTGATTAACATCCTTCTTCTCTTTGAACATTTTCCCAAACTGAAAGCAAAGTCCAGAACTTGTTGTTCTTGAAATATTGATATAGTTTTTTAAATATTTAAATCGATCCTAAAACAAATGAAAATTGATCTAGATAGTAGTTACTAGCTGAACATTTATATCATTATATGATTGTTCATAATTGATAAAATCTCAAAAGGTTCGCAATACAATGACTTAGTTATTTTCAACACAAGCTAAATCTTCTAATCGATAATTAGGCCAAAAAAAGAACTTGAATTTAATTAATTCATTTTTGTTATGTCAAAATCTTGATTTTGAATTATAATATACTCCTATAATTTTATTCTAATATATGCCTAGTTATATATAATTCAAGCTTGTTTTTTTAATTTCACATTTTTCATATTTGTGATTTATTTTGTTCTCAAAATTATTTATATGGTTTGAGTGTATAGATATGTCATAAAATTCATTATCATAATTGAAATTATGTCGATCAACTATGTAGTGTGTGCCAAAATTAATTTTAATTTTTTATTCTACTTTATGATTTTTATAGTTTTGCAATAATTGAATTTGACTAGACATATAAGATGTCCTTTTGAAAAATAATTTATTGAGGATAAGAATATATCTATATAATTGCTTTTATATATGTTAATCAAATTATTTGATTTGTAAGTTACAATAGTTATTTTGAAAACACATGTCCAAATAAAATGATGACATTTGATTTGATAAATATTTTATAGAATACGAAACTATAAGGCTTAAGGGAGTGGGTGTGATTGATGTGGCCGCGGCGCACATGGCACACTGTCCCTAGTGTGTGGCATGAACCGAACTCGACATCCTTGGTGTGTGTGTAAGCTTATGTGGAGCTAGAGTAGAAATATTTTGTCATATTATTACTATATCACCGTTCCCTTTAGTTTAATATAAAACTTGTAAAAATTCTATTATGGTTAACTTGTCATTTCATTTAGAAAGCTCCAGATACAAAAGAGGATGAAATTTTCAACCACCAATCTTTAATAATTGAATTCATATCAAAGTTGTTGATTTGTCTATTATTATTATCACTATAACAAAATCAATTATTTCTTCATTTACTTCCGTTGTTAAATGTAATGTTAATTTAAATACTTTCTAAAAGTTTAAGAGTAAATCAGCAAATTTACACATGGTTCACTGTTGTATCTAGAACCTATGATATTACTTTTAATAACTTGATCATATATTCATATTTATTTACAACTTAATAATATATATGTTTCAAACAAGTTAGGGTACGAAAAATAAGTAGTTTTTTGGGGAAAGAAAAAAAAAATCTAAAACATAAGACAAGTTTTCTTAAATTTTCACAGAAAATAAAAAATTTCTGTTTTCCAAAATTATAAAGAACTTATAAAAAAAATTAAGAAACTAATAAGGATTAGGTTCAACAACCTTAAACTTATGATCTGGTTTATGTTGTTGATTAAACCTTCCGGAAAGATTAGATGAATTTTTGTAGCAATCTTCACATAGGTCAAAACCAATATCCTCTAAGCAATCTTCGCATTTATACCGGTCTCCAACAAGCGGATACATCTGGTTTAAAAAAAAATAATAATAATAACATTATTTTGGTGTGTAAATCGATAATATAGTAAAAGAAAAGTGCATTGTGATTTGACTATTTTACCCTCGTTTTAGGGTAATCGGGAAAAATGTTTTTTTTTTTCAAACGGTTAAAAAGTATAACGGTTTAATCATGTAGTTAAAGCTACTAATTGATAAAATGGTAAAAATACATTACTTAAAGTGACTAAATTGAAAAAAAGGTAAAAGTACATAAGTACAAGTGCTTTTTCTTTATTTTGTCATGATATTATTCTTGAAAAAAAAAAGACATTTTCTGAATTTATTTAAATAAATATGGACATAAGTTTAATAAAAGAGAAAAGATTACCCCACAAAAGTCACAACCAACTAGAAAGTGAACCTTCAACCCTGGTTTGCACAAATAATCACTCATAGAGACAGATGAACATTGACCACCTTGTGGAACTTGTGTTGACCCTGATCATGTACATTGGATGGAATGGAATCACAAAGGAACGGAATGGAATAGAACAATGGAATGAGTAATTACATTCCGTTATGAATTTTTCATTTTAAATCTATATATATTATATGTAAATGTAAATGTAAATACCTGTTGATGAGCTTCCTTGTTCGTGAGTTTTGAGGTTGTTAATAGCCGTTTTTCTTGCGGAATATTCTTCCGGAATATTCTGTTCCAAGAAACCTTCTAGAACCAAACAGACTTTTGGGAATCCATTTGGATGCATGCTTTGACACACTGGGCATCGACATGGCTTGTTGGATGAATCAACAATACATGTTTCACAAAAAACTGTGAAAGGACACAACAAAAGAATAGTTTAGAGTAAATTACAGCTTTAGTCCCTATGCTTTACTCAAAATTGCAATTCAGCCCAAATTTTAAAACTGTCTCAATGTTGTCCTAAATTGCAATTCAACAATTCACAACGAAATGCAAACTTAAGGTTGACAATGGGACAATTTCAACTTTTGGACTTAACTTGCAATTTTAAGTAAAGCACAGGGACCAAATTTGTAATTTACTCAATAATATATTATTAATAAAAGAAAAGAGTAAATTGCTATTTTAAAATTACATCATTTAAGATAAAATATGTTATGATTAAGAAAGTAGCTTGATGATAAAATTATGAGTAAAATACAAATTTGGTTCATGCCACATACTCTCTTTTTCAGGTTTGGTCCAAGGGCAAAATGGTCATTCTAAAAAAATTAACAGATGAGTAGTTAGATTTAATAATCCATGGACCACAATCAATATGAAACCTTGGAATATCCCAATGGACCTAAATCATAAAAAATGAGATATCACAAATCACAATACCAAATCTGTAATTTACTCAAGAAAAATAACATATATTAATAAATAATAAAAAATATTGGTGCTTTTTGAACAAAAAAGTTGAGAAATGTCATAGTTTGTTACCCAAAAATAAACATTAACCATATAATTTATAGTGTTATGAATTTTTTGAGCACTTACCATGTCCACAATTAAGAACCACAGGTCGATAGAGAAGTTCTTTACATATTCCACAAAGTAAATCATTAACAGCTACATTTTTTGAGATTTCATCACTTGAAGTTGTAGGAGTCTCCTTTGTACATTTATCAGGTTTCAATGATTCTTCAACTGAACAATCTTTACCTTGTTTATTATTATTTGATACTGTTAAGTAGTTTTCAAACTGTGGTGAGAAGGTTCCACGTGTCTTTTCATCCTCTGCAATAAGAAAAATGATCAAATTGATGTATTGTTATTTTATAGGTTTTGGGTAACAAATTGCTATAAAGGGCAAAAAAAAGGGAAGGTGGTTATTATTTTGGGTTATAAACCTATTTCCAAACTTGACACCAAGAAAAATCAGGCTATAAAAGAAAAGGCCAAAAGGGTATAAACTGTTTTGAATGTAACATACCTTTCACTTGAATTTCCCTTCTTTGATAGTCTTTAGGATACAACTTCAGCAACACAGAGTGAAGGAGCCAACAGATGCTAGGAAAATGGTTATATGAATGGCGACAAACAGGGCAACTAGATTCCTGCCAAGTGTCCATTGCTTCAAAGACACACCAAAAACATGAAATATGGCCACATGCTGCAAAACAGGGACAAAAGTATTATGTAAAAATTTGTTATACAAGTAACATTCAACTTGTGGCTTTTTGCAAATCCTTTTCTTACCCAAAACAACTGGCTTGTAGATGAGATCCCTGAAAAATGAAAGGATTATACACACACACAGATTCAAAACAAAGATAAAGAATAGCAGATATAAACTAATTGCCTACTCATCTTTCACCTTCTTCACCACCTCCTAAAGATCACAGGGTAAAAAACAAAATTGACTAGATTCAGCCATTTTTGCTTCCTTTGATGCCTATTCATGCTTAACTCATTGTTGGTGGAATCTGGAATTGCCAAATTCATTAAGATCAATCCTACTTACAAGAATTTGATGCCTAGATTTCAATAAGTAGCTTTCAATGATCCAATGCAATCGCCAAGATATTTGTCATTCCTAAATTTCGTATAGTTATTAACTTACAGAGTTACAGATATAAAGTTGATAATGATCTTAAACTACATGATTATGAACTAACATTGATTATGAAACTCGAAATTGCCAGTTCCGATTTCTGGAAGGGATGGAGTTCATCTTAATAAATTAATCTCAGCTTCACTAAACTAATTAACCGAAATCTGCAGCAAATAGTCCGCGCACTGATCACTCATCTATATCGACAGGTCGCAAAAGACACAGAATTACGTCCATTAATTAAAATTAAAGAGTAAAAAACTAATCTTAAAGCAAAATAAAAACGTATTTCGATTAGGCTACGATCGGAATAAAAGAAAAAACGAATCTAATTATTGTTCATATTCGGATGCAGGCTTACAAGCAAACGCAACATTTGAAGTCGTCAGAAAATTCCTCGAGTTTATCATCGCCAGCTTTTTCGCCGTCGAATCCACCGCCGCCGATGGCAGGATCATTGTCAGGAGTATTCATTGCAGCACCGCTACGCTCGGAAGGAACTGGAAATACCTCAGGGTCGGCTATCGAGATATTCTCTTAGACTACTGCAATCGTAAATTCATCCCAAATAGTTATTAAAAATATACTTATTTTCTTTCATTTTCAGTTTTTCACATTTCACCTACATAATCCAATGACATCATTTTTCCTAAATTAGCAACTCAATCCACCGATTTTTTTTTTTTAAGTATATCAAAAAAAATATCAATACTAAACTACTTATCTCATTTCACAGAGAAAAGAAAACTATATATTTCAACAAATTTTAATCAATTTTATAAATAACTAAACATGAGATCTATATATTATACAGATTTATTAAAAAAATTAACATCAATCATTATAATAAAATAGTATAAATTCATGTAAATATCACCTTACATTTAGCAAAATAAAGAAGGAATGAACAGATTTAAAGTTGTCATTAACATTGTCGTTATGAAAAATATAATGACGTGACAATTAAATGAAAATAGACGACACAAAAAAATAACAAGTGGAAAAAGGAATTATAAAAATGTGTCTGACAAAACTTATTAAAAATGCTTTTAACTTTTACTTATAGCTTATTAGCTTATATGGTATTAAAACGGGATTTTTTTTAAAATTGTTTGAATTTACTTATCTAGTGACGGTATTAAAATGGAGTTAATGTTTGGATTTACTTATCTAGTGTCAAAACGCTATAAGCTAATAGTCTATTTTTAATGTTTGGCAAAAAAAAAATCTACTTATATGTGTAAAATTTCCAAAAATGGCTCCTTTTATATAAGCACAAGAACATCATTCAAAATTCAAAAACAAGAGGAGACATGCCCAAGCTTGACAATAAGAATTGAACATAAAAAGTGGGTGCTAGTGTGTTACTTGTTTAACATATAAACCTAGGTTCAATTGCTAATTGAAGCACAAACACATACACAATTGGACAGTTCGGATCAAAAAGACCAATCTATGTTACAGGTTTAACATCTCGGTATTTCATTCAAAATCAAATGTCATTTCACATTCAAAGTTAAACTAACTTCATTACAAATGTTTCAGTTTTCCAGCTCTTTTATGAGTTATGCATCAATTGACATAATTCAGAGAACCAAAATAAACAAATTGATAAGAAGGGAATAACTATAACTTTAATATCACCCAGAAGAAGGGAATAACAGAAACCATGTAAAAGAAGGAAGACTGGCAGCAGGAAAAAGAAAAGGTGAATGAAACCCGGGAAAAAATGGGAGAAAAACGTGTCTGTAGCTGAGAGGTCGAAGGTCTCCGGTGTGGCTGTGGGGTGTAACAATCTCCGGTCGGTGGTGGATTCACAGGGGAGGCGCTAACGGCGGCGAGCAGGAGAGGACTCGTCGCTTAGGAGCCAAAGTCAAGAGAAGTAGATGGAGGCGTTTGTGAATGTGTCGTTGTACAATAATGTGTATAAAGGTTTTATTAGGTTAAGAGTATATTGGTTAATTCCTCAAAATTGTGAAATAAGGTGTTTTTAATAAGCAAGGGGTAAGCAACATATGAAAAATGACTTATTAGAGGTCCCAAACAACTATAAGCTATTTTCAGAAAAGTTGTTATCCAAACACTCTTTTTAACTTATACATGTGTGGAACAAGAAATAAGTTTAAAAAAACTATTTTTTTAAGCTTAGCAAACCACCCTCTATAAATCACAAAAAATGACATGTATCAAATCCAATGAAAAGTTGACATTTGTCAAAAATGATTTTTATATATTATGGTAGATACCATATCTATTTGTTTAGATTGGAATGAGTTGTCTTGGCATACCACTCGGCAAGGATGACCACGCTCGGCAAACACCAGTTCCTATGCTCGGTATGCCGAGCATTGGAGCCTAAATTCTCTCTCTCTCTCTCTCTCTCTCCAAATATACCAACTTAATGCTTGTGTTGTTGATGTTTGAGGAAGAAGACGCATACCAGATTGATTGTGGGAAGTAGAAGTATAATAGATTAAGACCAGGGGCGGCTTAACCAGTTTGGGGGATCTAATGTAACGCCCGAGTCGCCAGGTATAAACTTTAACCATTATTTCAATTAATCAAGGACTAGACCATGAGTACGTTGGGCGTACACTAGGTACGCACGGCGTACTCCTTTGCATGCGCGCATCGGGGTTGACCCCTACGTACGCTGGGCATACCCATGCGTATGCATGACGTACTCAAGCCAGAGGCAAACCCTAATTTTTAGGGTTTGCACCATATTTAAGCTCATTAAGTCCTTCAAGTTCACCACCTTATCAGCCTCCCTTGCCTGTTGAGTCATATATCGAAACCCTAATCCATTTTCCCTAAAGTTTGAGCTTGTGTGTGTGTTTTGGGTGTGTGTTTTTCTTAGAGAATAAGAACAATAAGAGTTGTGAAGAAGCATTGGATCAGAAAGAGCTTGTAGATCTAGAGGTTTCTCATCATTTCTATCTTATTGAAGGTAAAAAGCTTCTACCTTGATGACTCCATGTGCTAGTTGTTAGTTAAGGGCTTATTTCTTCATAAACTGGTCTTTAAGGTATTTCTTGAGAGTATGAGCTACTCCAGAAGGTTATAATGCTAGATCCTAGTGTTTCTAACGTCCCTTGAGCATAAAAATGGAGTCTTGATGGATTAAGTTCAATCATGCAAGGATTGAAGGTGGTTTCATGAAGATAATGTGATTAAATACAAGATTTGCCCCATTAAGACATGCAAAAGCATAAAGTTGGCAACTTTATGACTTAATGCACTTTAATAAGCCAATATCTAAAATTAGACGTTGGGTATTAACTGATTAAGACCTAGCTCGATCTCCCTCCTCCTGTGAAAGAACCCCTTTCTCTAAATATTAATATTACTCCAAACATGCTACATGCATATTCATAAAAATATTTTACATATATGGTTTTATTACAAAAGGCTGGATACAAACCAAATAACAAGTTTTTACAAAATTTTATATATATTACATAACTTCCCAGGAATTTATACACTAAATACAAAAACTATAATATTATCTATTCTACATCTTCTACCAGTACATGACTATACTAGATGCTTATCACCTGCAATAGTTTAAACATTGAGAGGGATAAGCGGGTGACGCTTAGTGAGTTCAATAACAGTTACAATATAACGCTATTCCATATACATATCAATATGACAGAAGCAAAGAGGGACAAAGAACAACAAAGGCATATGTGTATCATATGACAGACTTTCCATATCAACCGACAATCTGATTCAATGATTTACAATCAATGAAATATAAAAATTTCAATACTTGATATACATCAATAAAGCTTCAGCCCAAATGGCACAGAAAATACAATTTCGGATTATCGTTTTGCTAGAATATACAGGCTATCAACCCTACATAGCCCTATGCCAATACCAGAAGTTATACGAGTCATGCTCTACATGGCCAAAGGCACAAAGCCAATACCAGAAGTTATACGAGTCATGCTCTACATGGCCAAAGGCATAAATCCGATACAAGAATAATACAGGAAAGCACATTGAACATATAACACATAACATATAATTGTCCCTATATTGAACTCACCGTGACCTATTGATAAAATGATAATTTGGGCAGCACTTCGCCTCTATAAACGACTTTCTTTGACGAAACCGGGGATTTTAGTTGAAAACCAGGCCTTGCGCGGGCAGAGTTTTAACTTGAAAGATTATTTTCTCGGGCTTTCGGAGCGTCGGGACTTGCTTCGGGTGTCGGGGATATTTCCTAGGCTTCTGAGGTTTGTTAGGGTAATTTTAGAGAGATTTGGGGGTGTAAAAGAGTAAATTTCGTAACCTTAAATCGGGCAGCCTCGCACCCTATTTATAGTGTCCGAAGACTCTCCGTATGTTGGGTGTAACTCTCCGGTACGCGGGGCGTACTGCATGGCAGTTCTCTACGCTGGGCGTACAAAGTGGATGAGATCAGACGCGTCAAGGCTACGACATGTGGCATTCATGCGAAGGAGTAGGGAGGGTGACAAGTTCCAGATCTCTTACACGAGTACGTTGGGCGTACTCCTTCGGACCAGTCTCGAAGTTTGTGCCCAAAACTTCAAAAATTCGTATCTTCCGCATACGAGCTCCGTTTTTAACGTTCTTTATATGTACGCGTAGGTGAAATTATGCTCTACAACTTTCGTTTAGACTCCGTCGGCTAATTTTGACTTTATTTTTAATGTTATATTTTTAACGGGCCGGGACAGGAAAAGTCCGTTAAAAATTCATAACTTCTTCATCCGTCGTCCGTTTTTGTCTGTCTTTTTACCGTTGTACTACTATTGACGAGATCTTCGATTCTCGTTTAGGTTGTATCGGCTAAAAATCACTCGACCTTTATTTCGAGTTTCGAGTTGTGCACTGCTATGCCGATTATTAGAAAATCATAACTTCCTCATACGAAGTCTGATTTGGACGTTCTTTTTATGAAAATTATCGGTTTAACGAATGCTACGACTTTCATTTAGATCACTAAAGCTAAAAAGTAGTTTATTGAAAATAAACTTTTTACGTCATTCGACGTTGTGTCGGTTCTGTCGCGAATCTTTAAGGAGTCATAACTTCTTCGTTATAACTCGGATTTCGATGAGGTTTTCGCCTAAATGTTTCTAACGAGATAATATACAACTTTCAATAACATTATTTTTACTTATTTCCAACTTTATATTTTCGTTAATTTCGATAATTGACTTTTGATTGTAATCTCATAAGACTTCCAATACTTTTCGAATGATTCTAAACATAGTTTTACTTCAATCTCATAAAACTATCTTGTTAGAACTCAACACTCAAAATCATATATTATTTAATAATATTCATTTTTAAACAAAACACGATAACTGAATGTGTATGTTACAAATACCTCTTCATTTTGAGGATTTTGTCCCCGAAATTACAACGATTTAAACAAATGGGGATATTTCGCTCTTATCTCATCCTTATTTTCCCAAGTATAATTTGGGCATCGATGGTGTTTCAACTTGACAAGCACCAACTCCACTTCTTTATTACGTAATTAAGTCGTTCTTTCATTTACGATTTCTTCAGGCTCTTCT